TTGAAGAAGAATCTTATCACAGTTGGAGCTTTGGAGGCGAAGGGATTCAAGGTGACCTTCGAGGATGCTGTAGCAAAGGTTACTAAGAGATCTTTGGTGGTGATGAAGGGAGTCCGCAGTCGGAACTTATATTATCTAAAGGGAGCACTGAGATTAGCCAAATTGCTTCAGCTATTTCAAAGGCGGACATTAGCAGACTTTGACACTACAAGTTGGGGCACACATGAGAGAAGTCACTGCAGGCTCTGTGCAGGGGCTATTGAAGAGAGCCAAGAGTAGAAAAGTTGAGTTCTGTGAGCACTATGTTCTTGACATGAATACGAAGGTGAAGTTCGGGACAGCCATTCATAGGACAAGGGGCATCCTAGATTATGTGCCCACAGATATTTGGGTCCCACTGAGACTGCATCTCTTGGTGGTAGACATTGGTTCGTCACGTTCGTTGATGACTATTCTAGGCGTTGTTAGGTGTACACCATGATGAAGAAAAGTGAAGTCCTAGATATATTTGTGGAGTGGAAGAAGAAGTTGGAACTGCAAACTAGGAGAAAGATCAAGACGTTACGATCCGACAACGATGGTGAGTACACATCAGACCCCTTTCACCAGCTATGTCGAGAATATGACATAGAGAGACACTTCACAGTTAGTCATACACCACAGCAGAATAGGATGATAGAGAGATTAAATCTGTCTTTGCAGGAGAAGATCCGATATTTGTTGGCGCATAGTGGTTTGGAGAAGATCTTTTGGGCTGTGACACTTTTATATGTGAGCCACCTCATTAACAGACTGTCTTCATCTGCGATTGAGGGGAAGACCCCTATAGAGATGTGGTCGGGAGAGCTAGCACACGATTATGACCAGCTTAAGGTATTTGGGTGCCCTGCATACTATCATGTGAAAACTGATAAGTTGGAACCTCGAGCTAGGAAGACCATATTTATAGGATTCAAGCATGGTGTCATGGGATATAAGCTTTGGGATCCAGTTGATAGGAAGATTGTGCTGAGTAGGGACATCACGTTTGATGAGGCTTCTATCTTGAAGCTTTCTAGCTCTCATCAGGTGGAGAGCGACCCGACGGAGGAGATATCACATGTGGTGAAGATCGATACAGCTCCACATTGTCCAGATGATACAGTATCCATTAGAGTGACGACTGAGGTGACGCCAGACGAGCACAGCGATGACGAGGAGGATATGGGTACGGTTATGTAGGATCAGAAACCGACAGCTCAAGTTCAGGATTCTATTACGGTTCGAAGACAGAGGAGAGACATACGGATGCCAGCATGGTATACCGATACAATAGTTGCATATGCACTTCTAGTAGAGAGTATTGATGAGTTGGTACCTACTATATTTAGAGAGGTCGAGCAGAGTTCAGAGGCTGATTCGTGGTAGGTGACTATGTAGGAGGAGATGGAGTCTCTTCACAAGAACGATACATGGGAGCTTGTTGAGCTTCCAAAGGGGCGAAAGGCAATTGGTTGTAAGTGGGTATACACGAAGAAGGAGGGCATTGATGGCACTCCATTAAGGTTCAAGGCTAGGTTGGTTACGAAGGGCTATGCACAGGAGGAAGGTATTAATTATAATGAGGTTTTCTTTTCGGTTGTGAAGCATTCTTCAATTCGGACTTTGCTAGCTTTGGTGGCATATTATGAATTGGAGTTAGATCAGTTGGATGTGAAGATGATATTTCTTCATGGTGCTTGATGAACAAATATATGACTCAGCCATTGGGATTCTGATCTGTAAGGAAGGAAAAACTGGTTTACAGGTTGAAGAAATTGCTATATGGTTTGAAACAGTCTCCTCGACAGTGGTATAGACGATTTGATGGTTTTATGATTGGTCATTTATACACTCGGAGCTAGTTTGATCGTTGCTATTTTCGTAAGTTAAAAAGAGGTGTGTACATCTATTTGTTGCTCTATATTGATGACATATTGGTTGCCTCCATTTTCAGATCTTCTATAGATGAGTTGAAGGCACAACTCTCAAAGAAGTTTGAGATGAAGGATTTGGGTGAGGCTAAGCGTATTTTGGGGATGGAGATCGGCAGAGACAAAGAGAAGAACAGAATTTGTTTGACACAGGTGGCTTATTTGAAGAAGGTTCTATAGTGATTTCATGTTAGCATGGATACGAAGCAAGTTAGTATACATTTGGGAGCCCATTTGAAGCTTTCAGCTGACCTCTCACCAAAGACATTTGAAGATCGAGAGTTGATGTCGAAGACTCCATATGCGAGCGTGGTTGGGAGCTTACTGTATGCGATGGTATGTACGAGGCCGGATTTGTCACAGGTGGTGAGCATGATTTTGAGATACATACACGATCCAAGAGTGGGTCATTAGGACGTTGTGAGATGGATTTTGAGGTACATTCGAGGTACGCTCAATGTTGGTTTGGTTTATGAGCGGGACACTACAGGTGGGCAGTTATGCATTGGGTATGTTGATTCGAATTATGCCGGGGATTTGGATAGGTGTCGGTCTACGACGGGGTATGTGTTCGCTTTGACCCGTGCGCCGGTGTGTTGGAGATACACCTTACAGTCTACAGTGGCTTTGTCTACGACGGAGGCAGAGTATATGGCTATTACGGAGGCTGTGAAGGAGGCTATTTGGCTTTGAGGGCTTTTAGAGGAACTTGGTATATCGCAACGGTCCGTTACTATTTATTATGATAGCATGAGTGCTATCTATTTGGCGAAGAATCAGGTTTTTCACGCGAGGACGAAGCACATTGACGTTCGTTATTACTTCGTTCGGGATGTTCTTGAAAATGGCAATGTGGAGATTGTGAAGGTCCACACGAAGGATAATCCGACGGATATGCACATTAAGGTGGTTTTGAGCAACAAGTTTGATTATTATCGAAACTTGTTGCACATTTGTGATTGTTGATGTCGTTAACGGCCATTTGGATGAACTATGGGCGGATTGATCCCTTGGGAGAGGGGGTACGTAGGCAACCATATTGGTGTAGCCGCTTTTGGAGAGACGGCGCATTAGTGCTCTTCGTTTGGTGTCGGCTCAGTTTTGGGAAAACGTCACCGAGGTGGAGAATTGAAGAGAATACAGAAAAAATTGACAGCAAACAGCTTTGGACTTCCAGCGGTCGACCGCGAGTGGCGTGGCGGTCGATCGCAAACATGCACGCAAGCTAGAAAAGTCTTTGGACTTTTCGCGGTCGACCTCGAGTGGCGCGGCGGTCGACCGTCCAAACCCTGTAATGAAAATTGGTTTCTGTCGTTGGATCCGGTCGACCGCACATGGCTCTGCGGTCGACCACGAGTCGGGTTGGGCCTGAATTTGGTTTCCTGTTCACATTGGGTTTGTGTTTTGATATATATTGAAATACTCGTTTCTAGGGTTATGAGAGGAGAGTTCTAACAGAGATTTTAGATTGTACTAAGCATATTGAGAGGGAGAACTTGTGAGCAAGTGAGAGATTTGGTTTAGGGGTTGTGTGAGTGATTTTGTGAGATTGTAACCCCTTTGTACTCTCCTTGATTTAGTGGAATCTCCCATCCTCTCCTCGTGGACATAGGCAAATTGCCGAACCACGTATATCTCTGTATTTGGTTTGATTTGTCGTATTTGGATTGAATTGTGCTCGTGTGTGGTTGGTTCTCTTCTCCCATGATCACAAATTCGTTCGGTGTGCGAGCACACTTCCGCATAAGCGCCCAACAAATATGAACATCAGAACATGCAAAATTAATTTATGTAACTATTCATATAGTTAATTCTAAACTGCAACTATGGTCCTTGTCAAGTGACAACCATGGATAATAGTCATAATGTGCCAAGAAGTTGCCAAGTAGCAATTATGATTGTTGTTATAATATATGTAGCATAGATAGACACTTACCTTTCTTAATAAAAAAAACTTTATAGTCGGACTTGGATAGTTTTGACTTCTAGGTGTTTCTTGAAAATAAGTGACATTAATTTTCTTGGAATTTTTACTATTTTTTATAGAAAAATTCCTCAAGGACCCAAAATATGGGAGCAATAGGGGGAACAAGTGAGATGTCCCCCTCCTATTGGATAATGAGTTGACCATCATGAAGTTTCTTGAAAATAAGTGACATTAATTTTCTTGGAATTTTTACTATTTTTTATAGAAAATTTCCTCAAGGACCTAAAATATGGGACCAATAGGGGAGACAAGTGAGGTGTCCCCCTCCTATTGGATAATGAGTTGGTCATCATTAACCCACGGACGATATCTGCAACAAAAAAATTCATCAAGGGTAAATGTGTCAAAAATAATTAAGGGGTCTATCCGAAACAATGAAACGCAAGGGTAGTCAGTTGCAAACAGCAATGCTGCTGGGGTTCAATGCGCAATTAACCTCAACGTTTCCATAATACAATGAAAGCAACAATCTGATCGAACAATCCTAACTTTTACTCCCTTCAGAAGTTAATTGCAAGCAGAACAGGGAATAAAAAAAGAGTTTTGTAATTGATAACCTACCTTTAATTTATAAACAATGCTCATAATTCCATAAATGATCTTTCATTTAAAAGAAATCAGAAAGTAATAAAACAAGAATAAATACCTCGTAGAATATAACGTTGTACTCCAACAAAATAATCAAGATCTGAATCATCAGAGCAACTCTTAAAGAGGAGAAGATGATCCATATATTCACTAATAATGGCATTCATGTCATACTAAACAAAGAACGCTCTTCTTTATTTATTTATTTATTTTAGAAAAGGATACCCTTACTTGAGGGACTAAAATAAAGTTAAACGTCATAAATAAAGGAAAAAAATCATAGGAAAAAGAAATACCTAGCTTCCATAAAGATTATATAACCTCATTGTTTATGAGAATCATTAAAAGACTAAAGAAACAACAAGAGTATTAATTACAGAAAAAAAAAATAAAAAAAAAACCCTCTTAAACCCATGATACATAATAAACATTACATAGAGAAAACGTTTCGTTCAAAGATGTCATGTACTCAATGTCCTTATATATATATCCCACATTATGCACTCTCTTTTCGCCTACTTTTTTTAGAGAATCCAGAATGGCTACAATAAGAGTCCCTGAGATGCCTCCTTCCCCTTTTGAAGATGCTCTTGATCTCAAAAATGCCTTCGAAGGTTTTGTCTCCGTCTCTCTTTTACACACAGATACACGTACTTACATATCCTCAAGAAAAATTTGTTTACGTTCGTCCTCATGAATGAAATGATGGAAGGCCTTGTGCCGTATAGTTCATTTTCATAAAAGGATAAAAAGGTAAATTGCACAAAATAATCATCAAGAAGTTTTGCATAAAACTTTGTTTTTGTTGACGAAAGTTTTACGCAAAACTACAGTAAACTACTTATTAGAGAAAAATAACACAGGTATTTTAAATAAGAAGAGAAAAAACACCACATACCTTCAGAAAACTATATCCTAGCTTTATGGTAATATGTAAAACTCCATGATAGTTATATGGTAATAAGCTAAGGTTCATGCTAGTTTAAATGGCTTTATCTAAAAGTTTTAATGATGATTTTATATAAAAAACATAAGTTAAGCTCATATTATTTAATTCATGGATTTTTATAGGATATGATATTTCTTGGTGCTTTTTAAAAGTTTTTTAGTATTTTTTTTTCTAATAAAAGTAACTATGGTATTTTGTGCAATATATCTAATTGTTCACGGTAGTGTTGTGGAATACAGAGAGGGAAAAAACACAAATTTTACAGTCATACACCTCTTAATTTGGAGAATATTTCTTAAATTCTTCATAATGAAACGTGGAGGTGCTTATGCCTTTGTTTCTCTATAGAAACGAAATTTTAATAACAGTCATACACAATTGCAAAATTTAAGTTTGAGGGGATGAGCGAAAAAATCAATTATTTCTATAGCATACAATTCATTAAATTGCATGTGTATAAGATATATCATGCTCCACCCCCCCCCCCCCACCAAAAAAATAAAAATAAAAATAAAAAATAAAAAATAAAAAAAAACCTCCTCATTCATCAAAAGTCTCTTATTCAAGTTCTGTAAAACATCCAGATATCTGACACCAATGATGGAGCTAGCTCACAAAAAGAACACACATTCCGTGGTAGGATTTTTCATATAAAAACTTACTTTTTCCCACCTACTGATGTTTTGCGCTGATACTATGATTTCCTTGGAGTACTCTTTATATTCGGTAATTTTTCAAGATTTTTACTTGTTTGATGATCTGTCCCTACATAAAACTCACAGTTCTTCAGAATTAAGATCAGATGCTAATTAATGGTATATTTTTACAGGATGGGGTACTGATGAGAAGACGGTGATTGGAATACTATCACATAGGGATGAAGGGCAGAGGAAGAAAATAATGTCAGCTTATGAAGAACTTTACAATGAAAACTTGATTAATCGGCTTGAGAAAGAACTCTCTGGTGATCTTCAGGTACTTTCCTCTGAACTCATTCATTTTATGTCTACAATCACATGTATTTCTTTGCAGGACCGTGGTTTGATAGTTTATGCTTAACTGATATCTTCTCTAAGGTTACTTTTACACCGAGCACAATTATAATAAGGGTAAATGATATGATTATCTATTAAGGGTGAATACAATGAAAAGATATCTAATTTTCCTCATTTTAAATCAGAGAAAGCATATTTAAAGTAAACTGCGCACTAAAACATATGATTCAGAGATTTCTCTCCCATGCATCAACAGAAATGGTTCTTAAAAAGGAAATTGTTCACGGTCCTCTAAGCACTTTAATGCACAGGGAAACAATTAATGGAAGTGATTGTCTCAGCATGCACATAACTTGTATAGGTCAGTAAACCAGGCTTGTAACAAATGCTAAATTATTACGTGTTTTGGTAGCATATTCTAATTTCGTTTCCCTTAAGCAAGTTCTTGGTGAATACTAAATAAATTGACATGGTAGCTTTGAGAGAACATCTTATTGATGAAATAGCATGCTTCACAGATTCAAAATATATGGTATCAGAATCTCGCATGTATCAGAAAATAACACTTCACGTCAGATAAAGGGGAGCATTTTGACATAAATGAGATAATACAATAAAAGAATAAGAACACATTGAAAAATTGTGAGAGTCGCTATAAATTTGGATCAGGCAAGGCATTGGATTAGTCCTTCATTTTTATTTTTATTTTGTTTAATTGTTACATAATTAAAGTTGGGGACTTAAATTGTCGGGGGTTGCTTTAGTTTCTTTTTTATTTTCAGTGTAATATGTCATAATCATTACAGGTTTTTTGATATGTGTGTGTGTGCGTGTGTATAGACAAGGACAAGCTCATGCACACATGTATGCTGATAACCCTCTCACCCTACATCATATCTAATTATCTAGACATTTTTCTTTTGACAATTTACGTACTACCTACATTGCTTTATTATAAGTTATGAGTTTAAATTGTTAGGATTCTGTTTTGTTTCCTTCCTTCTGATACACTATGTCGAAGTCTATGTTGTAGTGCATATCATATATGAACACGAGCATGGCCTTGCTTTCCTATGGATATAGTATGTTTCTGTGTCCCTGTGTCCCTGACTTCTAAGGATTAACTGCGTCTCCATGTTCATGCATCATGAAGGCATGCTGCTATAAATACCCACTCTCTAATTGTTTCCTTTTCTCTTATTTGTTATCCTTCAGTCTTTGCGTTCATATGTTTATCTTTTAATTATGCTATTGTCATTTCATATGCTTTTTTGTGGGACTAGTTAATGTGTCTTCTTCATTTCATATGCTTCCTTTAATTATGCCATTGTCATTTCATATGCTTATAGGAAGCAATTTATTTTTGGATGTTTGATCCAATTGAGAGAAGTGTCATCATGGCCAATATTGCCGCGAGGAAGAGTATTGACTACCAGGTGATAGTAGAAATAGCATGTGTCAATTCTCCCGATGAGCTACTAGCAATCAAGAAAGTGTACCATGCTCGTTATAAGCAATCCTTGGAAGAAGATGTTGCCTCGCATACTACTGGAGATTTTCGCAAGGTATGCCTTAGATTGGACCTAACATTTGCTCATTTTTATCTTTTAAAAATAGGGTTAATTACATATAGACCCCCTGTAGTTCTATTGTTGCAGATAGACTCCCTGAGTGAATTTTTTGGACTCTTTTGCACTTAGAGAAAGCAAAAAATATTTTTTGACAAATAGACGTCCTGAGGGTAAAAGAATAATAAAAAATCACTCATAGGGTCTATCTGCAGCAATAGAACTACAGGGATCTATACGCAATTGGGTGATAGTACAGGGTGTCTATCTGCAATTAACACTACAAAATATATTAAATGCCTTAAGCTACATTGAACTCTTGGATTATGTCACAGCTTTTGGTAGCATTGGTAAGCACATATAGATATGACGGTGTCGAGATAAATGAAACCTTAGCAGAACTAGAAGCAAAGACACTTCATAATTCTATAGTTGCACTGGAAAGCATTTCTCCTTACGATAGGAAAGAGATAAATGGGAGTATAGATCAGATAACAGCAGAAATACTTCGTGAATCTATTGAGCAAAAGAGTTTTCATCATGATGAAATTGTCAGAATCTTGAGTACAAGGAGCAGGGCACAACTTAATGCAACTTTTAATCATTACAAAGATGAGTATGGAACCTCCATCTCTAAGGTGAGTCGAATTTACTTCAAAACATCTTTCCTGAATATATATATTGTGGAGTAAAGCTAAAGTAAACTTATGTGGATTGAGAGCTTTGTCCACCAACTTTACTATTTCTTGGATTTGCTTTGAGATTTGTGTGATGTGTATCATACATTAGCATGAATCTCAAATCAAAATCAAGGGATAAAAAAGTTGGTAGGCACAGCCCTAAATCAACTTGAGCTTATTCTAGCTCTTTGTTTGTATTTTCTTAACTTTTCTATATATATTATGTATTAGGATCTCTCTACTTCCTTATCAAATGAATATGTATCGGCTCTCCGAATAGCAATCAGGTGCATTATCTCTCCTCAAAAGTACTATGAGAAGGTGAAGAAACCAACTACCGATTTTCTCTTACATCCATTCAGACTTTATTTTTTATTTTTTATTTTTTTCTTATGTATTTGAATGTATGAAACTTTAGGTTCTGCGCCATGCAATGAAGAAGGCAGGAACAGATGAAGATGCGCTGACCCGTGTGATTGTGACACGTGCTGAGAAAGACTTAGAGGACATTAAAGAGTTGTATCAGAAGAGAACAAACGTTACACTTGAAAGTGCAGTACATAAGGAAATTTCAGGGAACTATAAAAAATTTCTTCTTGCTTTAGTTGAGGAATAGAGCTCTTAAATCTCTATTCATTTAGCAGATTTTTCTCGTTTCCTAAAGATCTAGTAGATGCAGTAGTCTGAAGTGATAGATTGGTCTATTTTCCTTTTGTGATAAATTGTTGGTTTTAGGAGAAGTAGACACATCTGTAGTTCTTTCATTCTTTCTCCTTTAAATTTTCTTCTATTCTTGGTTTATTTTACAGTGATTTTGCGAATTTGGTCTTGGTCAAATTTTCAATGCTCGGAATTCGGAAATAAGATTTGATTGATTATTGGAGTAGTAATCAAGGAAAAGTTCTTTGCTATTCGTATTGCGTATCAGTGAGTATGCAAAGTGATGAAGGTTTATCATTGACATTAATTAATTGGCAACAGCAAAGGTGAAGTATTCATTGAAAGTAACTGTAAACATAAATAACTACATAGTGAGAAATGCTACCCCATCGGAGACACAAGGAAGAAAAGAGGAAAAATAAACCAAAATTTCTAAGAAAACACTAATAAATGAAGAGCAGATAACAAGTAAGCTGACCTCAAATGTTCCCTTTAGCTTTTCTTTAAGCGTCCAGCTTCCTATCAGAGAGTTCCCTCCCATCTGCAAAATCCACCGTATGTTAATCTTTAAAAAAACAGCTACCTATAATGCCTCGAATCAGCTTCTTACCCATCGGTATAAAGAAATCCATGGCTTATGATATAGACACATTCTTGCGAAAAATAGAGCAAACTGTTACCTAACACTCTAATGCAATACTCGCATCACTTTCGATCTCTCTTTGACAAGTTAAACATATGCTAGACTCTTATCATGTACAGCCAATAAAATGGCACTTTTTTCACGGGACATACATTACTGGATTGCTTAAGCAATCTGCAAGCAACAAACATCACTATATATGAAACTACATAGCAATATTAAGTGGAAAAAAAAAATCTCCTTTTACTTATCTTTCATATCTTGCATTGTTATCCTTCCAAAGGATGTAGCAAGATCATATCCTGAAAAGATCATGTTAAGAAGTAATGCTAGCTTCGTTAGTCAAAATGCAACAAAGAAAGGAGACAGATGACATAGTTCATCCCAAAAATGGCCAATTCATCATTGACCACTTGCGTATTATAGCAAGCTATCCTAATTACTAAATAGTTGAAGAATCCAAATTTTCTACAATCCTTACCAACCAACTGAAGCACACTTTGTTGTAGGCAATAATATAAGCAGCGCAAAAAGGGAGAAGCCAGAGGTCAAGGCATGAAGACTGGAAAGTGGGGAAAACGAAAGTCTCCTCCCTAAATTTTATTAACATAAGCAGTACATGTATGTGCAATCTGCCTATTTTGAAGAAAATATTTATATAGATCTTATTTCCAAACTCTTATTTTGTGGATATTGTTTCTAAGTTTCTAATTATCTTATTTAGAAATAATTTGTTTTAAAGAACAGGATACTCACAATGAATCAACCTCCTGCTCGGAGCTTGTCAAGATTCACTGCAATTGGGCATGAGAATTAATAGGTAATTCTTAGAACCATCAATACACAATCTATTGGTTGATGATCTTTCAGATATGAAGCTCATATATATAGAATTTTGTGGCAGGTAATATCCTCTCTAAATATTATAAATATTTCATTATCATACATGTACAATGAAAAACGTTGTCCTAGTTCTTGAGCAGTTAAGGGAAAGCATCCTGCAGATTGTTTCTGAGGCTTTTGAATTTGTTAATAGAAGAGAGATTACATCTGCATTCATCTCCAAAACGTGGTATAGTGATATATTCAGTAAGGTAAGTAATCGATATACTAACGTTGTCACCTTATCAATTGAATGCATAAGGATGAGAAAAGCTATAGCTATTCAACCATAAGGGCAAAATACCAGTGCAATATCTGGTACAGTACACATCAAGGTACACGCAAGACTTTTCAGCATCTAAGCATATGAAATCCTTCATTTATACTGCAGATTTTCACCATATGATGGTCATGAATCTTGAAATAGCAAATGCACTCCGCCTACATGCATCCAAGTTCCTCCTGATATCATCCAATGACCTGTATAACTAATTGCTAAACAACATATTGCAGCCTTATGTTTAACAGCTACATACCCCTCATTCATATTCACACCTTAAGTAAATACGGTTCATGAACAATATTGTCTAGCTGCACATAAGGCTGCCATATGTTGTTTAGCAATTAGTTGTTGAGGTTGTTGAATGATACCGGGAGTAACTTGAATGTTGGCAGAGTGGATTTGCTATTTCAAGATTCACGAACGTCATATGACAAAAGGCTGTAATATATGAATCAAGGATTTCATCTTCAGAAAGGATATTACCTGCGATAAAATTCTCACTATTTAATGAGCTAATATTGCATAGTTACAGTTGATATTAAAGGTGAATTGACATAATGTTTCATATTTGGAAGGAAGGACATCACTCATTAGAGGTTGTGAATTTTCAGGGTTCTATATTCCTTTTAATATATTTGAAAGATCAAATTCACAAAAATATTTCCTATTTTGTAGCAAATAGGACACATTGGTATGTTATACACGTTTGGTTTCTATGCATTTGTCCAGGTACAACAAAAAATTAAAGGAGAAATAATGAAAAAAGCACAAGACATGCTTATTACACAGCTCACAACTTTTTTATTTCTCTACTCTAAAAAATACAAGCCCGTCATTTTGTCTCGTACAAACCACTTGATCCAACAAATAAGAACAAGAATGAATTATGAAAAAGGACATGACAACAAAATAAACAGGTATAAAGCAGACAACGGTATTGATTTGGCTTAAGGCCCTTATAACGGTTTCAAATGTAACCTGGAGTCAACTTTCTTGCTCTTTCCCAGTAACGAGGGAAAGCAATGCGTCCCTATAGTTTCCATGCGTGCTCTTTGCTATGACATCTTCAAGTTTAACTCCATATTGTTTATGATACACTTCTTTGATTTCTGCCATATCAATCTCTGATCGGGATACTATTACTCGAGTTAGAGCTTCTTTGGTGTTCTTCTCTGCTCCATCTTTAAAAGCCCTATTTATTATCTGAAGCCCAAAAGGATTTGCTTATTAGAAATCATTACCGTACAACAACATAAGTTTGTTCTCATATGAATCTAACTCTACCTTGCAGAAATATATAGGAGGTGATCTCAGACATTGAACTGTTTCTTGCAAGCATTTGTCACCAGCAATATCCTGACATACCATCAATAAATGTCAACAATTCATATAGATAATTGCAAGTAGAACAAATATTTTGCAACCTAATACTTGAAGTCTCACCTCTTCAATGGATTTCCCATACATTTCCTTGTAGAATTTAAAGGTCACTTTTAGATGTGGCTTGCTCCTAGTTGTAAGTATCCTGATAATATCTTCATTTTCTATAGGCTTCTTAGCTCCTGCCTTCTTTATGGCATCATTAAGTGCCTTGGCCTCCAACTTGGCCCTTTCTTCGTCCACGTGAGAACCCTCGTACCTATACGAGCTCACCAGTCCAACCAACAGCTGTTCAAACATAAGACCCAAGTTAGGAACACACGAAGGCTCAAGTACTTAGAGATCATTGTATGAGTTTAAGAGTCAAATTGAGAGGATGCTTATAAACTATATTTAGACTGCCATATGAGTTACAACAGTAGGCTCACGAAACGTCTAATATTATCTATGATTAAGCCACGCCTCTTGGATCAGTACTGTAAGTAACAAACTCACCGGAAGTTGACCGAATTCTTACAGCCTCATGTCACTGTAATGCAAACAACTTCAGAGTACCAAATAAGTCTATGCTAGAGTATTAAATGGGATATAAAACTGGCCCACAGCAGACTAAGATTAACAAAGATAATCATGTATCAATCTAGAAATTTAAGAAAAAATCTTCAATCTCTTTTCTCATAATTTCTGTATTATGAAAGTGTCTAAATGAAGATGGAATATGCATCCTAGCTCATCTATAGGTAATCAAGTTCAATCTCCATGGCATCATAATAAAAGATAAAGATTAAACTCATTAGCGGTAGTCTAATATCTGCTAAAACTATACAAATTACATCCCTTAACCTTTAAAAGTAGGCCAAAACCTTCAGTAGCACTTATCACCCCTCAACTCATTTATTAGCACTTATCATTCTCGAGGTTAGTACTTTAAGAAAGATAAAATGCAGCTAACTCCTAGCACGGATACATGTGCGAACATGAACACGGACATAGTTACGGACACGAGATATGGCAAATTTGTAAAATGTAGGATACAGGGACACAAATATATATATGGTACCAAGCACCAAATTGGTGCTTGGTGGTGAGGTGGTTCATTCTCATCCATTTATTCGAAGAGGGCATCACAGCCACATAGGTGCACATGGGTTGGATGATTAAATAAGTGGATAAGAAGTGATGACCTTACTACCAAGCATCAAATTTGGTGCTTAGTACCAAGCATACCCATTATTCCCCCATTATTCTCATAGGAATGATGAGTATGAGATGGCGACTCATTTTGCTAAATGAGTTACCAAGAGATAGAGTGATGAGGTCCACACCTTTTGATGTGACTAGCAAGATAGGCCTCACCATATGGCTATCTTTTGGTAGCTTATTTTGTAAAATAAGCCACCACCTCATACCCATTATTTCCTATTCTCATATATGTGTGTGTGAGCGCGCGTGTGAGTATATTAGATCAAATATTGAGTTAAAATACTTATAACATTTGTATGTGTCTTTCTATTATATATAATAATTAAGAATAAAATTAAATTAAACAAAGAATAAAGGTTTAAAAATAAAAGTTTAGTTTTGATCGCATGGGTAATATGATGGAATTTTTCAAAATGTAAGTCATGGGTTTTAGTTTTCAGGTTCAAAGAATGACCGGTTTTGAACCTAATATTACTAGAGAAACAAGTTTAGTGTATAAGTAAACGAAAAATCGGATTTTTGTAAACCATACTTGTCCATGGCGTGTCCACGGAGAATTCGTGTCCAACACATGTCGGACATGGATTCTCCACGGACACTCCAATGTCAGACACAGACATGGCATGCAAAACGCCGTGTCCGAGTAACCTAGATGACATGCTACTGAAGTTATAGATGAGGACCATTACATAAATTTACTCTTAAAATTAATACTTCTGCTTTGTGACATCTAAATTCAAAGAATTAAACCATGTTGTGTAAGGGAAGAAAGCAATACTCACTTGGGCATTAGATTCCTTGACACGATAAGCAACATCTTCCTCTAGGGAATGGTGGAAGAGGGTATGATAAGCTCTCCTTGCCCCAAGCAGCTCCTCTGTGGAACGAGTACAAGCGATTTCCACTAGGATTGCAAATGGGTGGGCCTTGTGGAGTACATGGTTAGCCCAACGAGCATCCCTTTCCCATGGATGCATTGCCCATAATAACACTACATTCTGTACAGATAAGGATCAAGTTGATTGTCATTCTTCCGTGAATTGTGACCTTGTATCTTAAGCAATAAATTTGTTCTTGGTGAAAGGATTTTAATGGATTGTTTGTCAATCTAAGAAATTGTGATTGGTGAATCTATTCATGCTTCCATGAATACAATTTATAAACTTCTCTTCATATGCATACATGAATAGGCATTGAGAAGCAATCACTTCTATCAAACAATTTTTAGCATTATAGTCAATATGGATGATAAGTGAAGGTTGCAAAGAACCATTATGTGTAATTCAGGACGGAAGTAGACTACACTATCGGATTCGCAACTCTTTTTCTTTTTCGTAACAACCAGGTTCATAACTTGAGGAACAGATTGCTGCGGGATGAATTTTTACTTTTTTATGTTCTAAAGGAATGAAGTTTTCCAATGTTGTAATTCCTTTTGTTGAATACGAATCCATGCATTACCCTATGAAAAGGTTATGGATCATCTAGGAGAATCCTATAAATATAATATTCCTCAAACTTAAAAATTTCTTCTAGAAGTATAGATACAATTAATGTTTTCTTCATATACCCATTTTATCATTTCTTATTCAGGACCAAGGTGAAGAAATTAGTAATAATCTCAAAATAGAAAACTAATCATTATAACTATTACACCAAGTTACAAGATTACATAACAAGGAAAACGAAAGAAATGTCACAAGTTTTACACCGAAAAGAGTAGAAGGCTAATGCATGAACAATGAAAATCTTTCCAATGTAGATATTCCTATATCCAATTTAATTTTATGCACTACCTTATAAAAATAGGTTCTATTATTTTGAAGAATCCTACAAATGCATTTCATAATTAATGTTACTTCCTAGAGTGTAGGCATAAAATTTTATTATCCCTTCAAATGACCTTTAAAAAACCCAAGCAAAAAAAAATGAGCTTTCACATTCTTTAATTTCAGAATCAAACTGAAGCAATAAATCATTATGTCAAAAACAGAAACTTGTCATGTTATAATTTCAAGTCTATATACCAAAAAGTTCTACTAAAAAAATAGTTTGCCAAAATTTTACCTTAAACCTCGCAAATTCGGCTTTCAGATGCTTCACAAAATCATCCTCCCACCTCTCAAAATTCTCAACCTCAGCATTAAAGAGAGGAGCAGCACATCCCCTTCTAAAATGGCTTCTCTTCTCAGGCTCATGCCTCCAGTTCCCAATAACAGACACCAATTCCTTCTCCTCAACCCCCAATCCTCCAAACCCTTTCTCATTCAATCAAATTGACCCAAATTTTTCAATACATTAGCTCATATAACAATTACCCACATTTTTATCGAATTGCATTATGAGTAAAAATAAAAAATTTATACCTGAGAAAGCCCTGGTGAGTTTCTCACACTCCTCTGCAATGAGATGAGCCATGTTTCAAGAACTTGAATTGGGGAGTTTATGGGGGATTGAGGAGGGGGGTTTTATAATTTGCGGGTACTGATTCTGCTTGGGGTTTTGGGGGTTTTTTAATGGTTTGTTATGTGGGAATGAATGTGGATTATGGCTGTTTTTTTCCCCTTATTGTTGTATTAATATATAGTAGGGTTATTTATAAAAAAAAAAACATGTATATATAATAGGGTTTATTTAGTATTAGTCCTTTACGTGCATATTTTTAAATTCATCAACAAATCATTGAAACTGCTATCAGGTCCCTCAATTCTTAGGTTAATCTACAGTTAGTCTCTCAAATCATTGAAATTACTATTAGATTCCATGAGTCTTAAACTATTTTGAAATTAGACTCTCAAACCGATCGTGAAGATAGCAGTAAAATCATTAAGTAATCCCTCTAATTGATATTTCTACTATTGATTGGAGGGACTTATTTAAAATAAGTTAAGAATTGTGGTACTTCATAGCAATTTTAATTATTTGAGTAACTAATTTTAACATAACTTAAGATTTGAGAGACTTAGTAGCAATCTCTATGATTTGAGGAACTAATTTCAAAATATCAAAGATTTAAGGAACTAGTATCTGAAACCGCCAATGTAGTAATATATATAGAATTTAATAAAAGTCATTATTTATAAGGACATTGACAGCTCAGAACTGAAACCGACGGGTTTTTCATAGAAACGCTTTTTTCAATTTATGGTTTTTAAGATATAATACACCCCTCAAAACTTTTTATGCCTAGGGAGTTTCTGTATTTATAAATTAACCTCCTAAATCATATCGTTATTATGAATTTATTGTTCTCATTAATTTTCATTAAATGAGAATCATATAATGGTTCATTCTTATTTTAATTAAATAAAAAAATTAGCGATTGTTCTAATAAGTTCCTCAAATTTTATCATACTCCAATCTTATTTTAATTAAATAAAAAAATTAGCGATTGTTCTAATAAGTTCCTCAAATTTTATCATACTCCAAATATTTTTTTTTATGACTCAGCTGCGTATCATTGCTATAAAATGTTAAAAACACTATGTACAAGTATAGTCTCACATCGAAACAAAATTAAAAAACTTTTGGGCTTAAATAGAGAAGTAGCACATACTCATATAAGTTAATTTTGTGTTAAAATGGTTGCCATTCTATGTTTAGAACTTACTAGTATAGTGCACATGCGTTGCACGTGGATATATTTGTTTTATGTTCTAATACTTTACACAATTTATTATTTAATTAATGGAAGAGTTTTATTTTGAATGTAATTATAACAACATTTGAGGACTTATTTATAATTTTCTTACAATTTAGATCATATACTTCTTTCAATCTTCTTAAGATTTAAGTTTTGAACTATATAGGGGTTTGTCTGTAAAAAATTATGAAGTTTTAGTATTTTTCTATAAATATATGATATGTTAATGGTCTTTGTGAAAATTATGAAGATCCATGGTTGTTTGTGAAAAAATTCAGGGTTATTTTGTGAACATTGGCAAATCATGGAATACCTAAAAGATATAATTTTTTTTAATCCTAAAAGACATAGTTCTATTTACTTTATAATTTAAGATAATGAATGACATTTAATAACTACTGGTAGTTTTATGTACAAATTTAGAATATAGTTTTAACATTAGGGAGGTTATAATATACTTATTATATAAAAAAAATACCCAAAAGACAAAAATTCCAAGTTTGTTCTTTACTTTTATGTTAATGTATCATGTTATTCCAGTTTATATTAATTACCTTTATTTTTGCTAATCTATTATAACAAAATAAAATTCTCACTTTTGCCTTCTCTCTCTTCTATTATCATATAATTAGTAACATGCTACAAAAAATATATCTACTAAGTTCATGGACAATACAATATTTCTCTCAAATCACATTTAAGTACATAGTAATAATTATAGATATAGAAAAAAAAAGTTTATTAAAACCCCCCAAATTAGACCTCAAACTTTAGCCTCAATCTGAATTCTTCACAATTCCTTGTATCAATCGTATCCTCAATCTGCATATAGCCGTCAGTCTAACAATCACATCAGTATAAAGTATAATCCGAGTAAAGCTCGGTACTTCATCAACACAACTTCAATCGTCTTCACCCCCTCACCCTTTATCGTTATCTCTTCTAAAGGGATAATGTTTTCACTGGCGAGCTTGTATCATCCAAATAATATCATAGTAAAGCCATGGGGTGAGTATAGGATGTTGTTAGGGTTATAAGAGATGATTATAAATCTAAATCATCAAATGAGTGAATTTATATAGGTTGTAAGTAAGGTCTATTATGATAAATAAATAAATAACATGCTCTTTGGATTCCGTAAAAGTCAAATGTAATTGTCACTTAAATAAAAACTACAATTGAAAATGTAACTCTCATTTCAAGTATGCATGAATGCATGCACTAATGGTATTTTAAGTTGACACTTTGTTTGCAAATTGAAACGTATATTATTAGTTTATCATATGTAACTCTCATTTCAAGTATGCATGAATGCATGCACTAATGATATTTTAAGTTGACACTTTGTTTGCAAATTGAAACGTATATTATTAGTTTGTCATATGTGCATTTTAAGTGGAGGGGTTACAAAAAATAAAAGTCAATATTAGTGGACAATTAGTAGGAGAGTTATGTCATTATTAAGAATGAATGCATGTAAGCATTTTAAGTTGACACTTTGTTTGCAAATTGAAACGTATATTATTAGTTTGTCATATGTGCATTTTAAGTGGAGGGGTTACAAAAAATAAAAGTTAATATTAGTGTACAATTAGTAGGAGAGTTATGTCATTATTAAGAATGAATACATGTAAGCATTTTAAGTTGACACTTTGTTTGCAAATTGAAAATGTAACTCTCACTTAGTTTGTCATATGTGTGTGCATTCAATTCTCAGCTATTATGCCAAATACAACTTACAATCTTAAATTTTTTTATGATAACATTAATATTAGATTAGTGGAGGGGTTACAAAAAATAGAAGTTAATATTAATGGACAATTAATAGGAGAGTTATGCCATTATTAAGAATGCATACATGTATATATATGTGTTTATATGTATGCAAATTTTTTATGATAACATTAATATTGGATTAGTGGAGGGGTTACAAAAAATAGAAGTTAATATTATTGGATAATATATGTATGTGTTTATATGTATGCAAATTTTTTATGATAACATTAATATTGGATTAGTGGAGGGGTTACAAAAAATAGAAGTTAATATTAGTGGACAACTAATAGGAGAGTTATGTCATTATTAAGAATGTATGCATGTATATGTATGTGTTTAAATATGTATGCAAGTATGTGTTTTATGGATGCATGTATGTGGTTTGGAGGGCATTTTTGAAAGAAATGTTTTAACATACCAACACACTTTTATAATAGTATTAGATTTAACTCCTAGAAATGGTTCAATTATTTGAACGTCTTGTATCGATGGCTTAACATTATAATAGTGTACACGCAAGGATTTATGGAATAGTACAAGCATGGATTATGGATTACAGATATAAAGAAATTGGCTCTCTAAATGGATTGGTCCCCTTAGACTTATCCCTTTCTAATATTTGTATTACTATTGTCTCGTCTATATTGATTTATTTTCTATAGAGAAATAAATAATTTGATCATTTCTTTTTGTTTGTTTCTTAAAAGAAAAATTCTCCAATGAGCCAAAATATGGGATCAACAGGGGGGACAAGTGAGATGTCCCCTCTTATTGCATAATAAGTTGGTCATCATTCATGATGGTCAGCTCATTATGCAATAAGAGGGGGACATCTCACATGTCCCTCATGTTGGTCCTATATTTTGGGTCTCTGTAGCAAAGCTCTTCTTAAAATTGTATATTGATACTTAGAACCATAAAATTCATTATACATATTTATCATCTTACTCTCTATTAATTATTTATATTCATTCTCCTTTTCTATGAAAAATAGAACATAATTATTTATAGGTAACGAAAGATTATACATGATTGAAGAAATGATATAATTGTTTGCTCTCTACTTTCACCACAGAGGATCCGAATCCAAAAGAACAACATAAAACAAAAACAAAGCAAAATACCGTTTCCTGAAAGAAAGTAATTGATGTATATGCAATCCATTAATATTGCACACGTGACCAGTAATATTGGATGCCATCAATTATGCACGTTTCTAATTTAATTCGAGTCCTCTGTTTTCCCCCATCCAACTAGGCCTGTCCATCCGGTCCGGCCCGGCCCGGCCCGGAAATCCGGGCCCTGGCCGGGCAAAACCGGAGCCCGGACCCGGGCCCGGGTACCCCGGGCCGGGTCCGGGCCCAGGCCCGGGCCCGACCGGGCCGGGCTCCGGGCCGGCCCGGATTTTTTTGTTTTTTTATTTTTTTATTTTTTTAAAAATTTTAAAAAACAATAAAACATAAAAATTACATAAAAATTACATTTATATAATAGTATATATATATTTATACTCTTATATAAATATAATTATATTATATGTACATATAAGTTTATGTTTATATATATGTATAGATATATAAATATATATTTATACTCTTATATGTATTTATACTATTATATAAATATACTTATATATGTACATATAAGTTTATGTTTATATATGTGTATATATAAGTATACTTATATACTAAGAGAGAGAGAATATAAATATATATATAAGAGAGAGTATACACTGTACACATATATAAGAGAGAGCATACTTATACATATATATAATTATATAAGAGATATAAACATATATAAGAGAGAATATACTTATATTTATATATACTTATATACTAAGTAGCCCAAAGTATTCATGTCATTCAATATATGTATATGTATATATATACACACACACTGACACACATATACATATATTATACATAAACAAATTGTAAATACTTATAGTAATTACATAAACAAATTGTATTATACATAAAAACACACACACATATAAACTTATATATACACACATATATTATACATATATAAGAGAGAGTATACTTATATATACTTATACATATATTATACATATATAAGAGAGAGTATACTTATATATACTTATACATATATTATACATATATAAGAGAGAG